GTTGTATAAGTAAATGACAAATAAAATTATTAAAGGCTCACGGATTCGGAACTTAGAAAAGTGCGCAAAATTATGCTAAATTGACAAGTACTATCAAATTACACCACATGGCCTCACGATTTAATATATAAAGAAAACCATCTGCCTTTCTGGCGCAGCAAAAGTTCAGTTTGACGCACGCATTGTTTTTGCAATTACACTCTAAGTAAAATGTATCGATTATTTATAATGCGATTATTAGGAATTTTTAAAATATAATTTTTGCGTCTCTAGCAATTCAATCTGCGCTATAAAAGTCAATTAATTTAAGACAAACAAGCGAATATACGCGAATATTATGGTGAATATACGGCCTCCAATACAGCAACAAGATGCGGCGAATTCGATCCTCGGCTTGCGTCATGTGATATGTTCTAGAGGTCTGGACACGAATGAATTTGGCCGGGGGGTTATCTTGTGCTAGCTTAATTAATATTGGCGGAGATTTGACGCTATCGTTCAACTCCGCCAATATTCAACATGTGGTAATTTTTTTCAACATATTTTGAACGTTGAAGTTGTGATGGGTCAGTAAATGCGCGGCATGTTCAATGTCCGGTTTAACTTCAATGTCAAAAACACATAGGTGTTCAATGTCATATTTAACTTCAATGTCGAAAATATGTTGAATGTTTTGCATGTTCAATGCCAGATTTATCTTCAATGTCGAAAGCACGTAGGTGCTGAATGTCCTATTTAACTTCAATGTCGAAAATATGTTGAATGTTCTGCATGTTCAATGTCAGATTTATCTTCAATGTCGAAAGCACGTAGGTGCTGAATGTCCTATTTAACTTCAATGTCGAAAGCATGATATACATGAATATTGGCGGTGATATGACGCCATAGCAACTCAGGGATCGGATGATAGACTATTGACGGCTCTGAGCTAACTGTTGCTGTTCCTTGCACGATTATGTGCGTGAGGCACTTGCCTAATGCGTAGTCATCAGGGAGACAAAGGTGTGACCCTTGGTAACGGGCGATTAGTTCTAATCGCCCGCTCTAGCGGGCGATTACAACTAATCGCCCGCTACAGCGGGCGATTAGTTAGTAATCGACCCTGTTGAAACAAAAGAAACCCGGGCAACTATGCTATTACTATATTCATACAATTATTCACATGATAAATCGTATAATGATTTGCTGTTATTCGTTTATCTTAGTACGCTTTTGCAACGTTTTTACTCGTTGATTTTGCCCAACCCTGGCGTTCAAATATAAACATAATAGAGACCTTAAGATTGACGTTTACCGCAAACGTCAAACCGCTAGCGAAGTTTTTGATTTTACAACTCTATTATTATACTTTTACACCAGTTTTGAAATATGTTAGACTTATTAAACTTGTGCTCTTTAGCAATGATTTAAGAAAGCAAATTAACCACAAATCATGCCATTCACCAAAGCAGTAAATTAAGATTTGGCGTTTGAAGTTGACGTTTGGCATATAAATTTCATGCTTTAACGACTAGAAGCCCTCGTAGCAGTTCAAGCATGAAATTTATACGCCAAACGCCAACTTCAAACGCCAAATCTTAATTTACTGCTTTGGTGAATGGCATGACTAGCGGTTAATTTGCTTTCTTAAATCATTGCTAAAGAGCACAAGTTTAATAAGTTTAACATATTTCAAAACTGGTGTAAAAGCTATAATAATAGAGTTGTAAAATCAAAAACTTCGCTAGCAACCACGAGATCAGAAAGACAGATCAACAGACTTTAACATAATTTATGCATTTAATTCGACACGACGATACGCCAGTAACGACGTCGTATGAAACGACGGCTTTCGGGTACACATAATCACTAGACCTGATCGGCTGAATGCCATGCTATTACTTATAATTATAGCCACTGATCCATATTGTATATTTTCGGAGGGTGACACTTGTAAGCACCGATGGCTTTTTCAATTTACAACGATCATATTTATACCATTCCAGGTAGATTAAAAGAATCAATGGTTTTGAGTATGGCTACACAGCGATCACCTAAATTATGGATTTTAATATTCATTTGCGTGCGTAATTTCACGGATGGATGCGAAACCTACTTCATAGCACCGACGGCTTGGTATTATATCAAATCCCTTGGGCAGAGTGAAAAATTTCTAGCCCTAGTTTTAACTTCATTCAATCTAACTGCCGTCATCATATCACCAATAGTCGGATACATGGCGGATCGTTTTGGACATATAAAATTATTAATCGTTTTCACTTACGTCGTGAAAGTTTTGGGTAACCTGCTGTATAGTATCAATGTAAGCGCAATTTTCCCTTTAATGGGCAGAACCGTTAGCGGTATAGGGGAAAGTTCGTACGGGATTCTTATGGGGCAAGTTGCCCTTCATACGAGCGAAGAAAATCGTGCGGGAATGTTTGTGTTTTTGGAAGCTACGTATTGCCTGGGCACTGCATTTGGCCCGGCGCTCGGCAGTTTCATCACATTTAATGCTAATATCTTGGGTTGGGAAATTGATGCAGGGAATTCACCTGGGATCGTCTTGATGTGCGTATGGCTCGTATCCTTAGTAGGAGCGCTTTTCTTACCCGGCGATTTTGGAGAGAAAAGTGCCATCGAAAAAGTGGAAGTCGAAATGGTGACGTCAGCTACGAGTGATACCGACGATGACCGAACATTGACCGACGAACACCGAAGACTGAGCGAAGATGACCCGAAGCCAAGTATTGAATGCAACTCAAAAGTTTTATGCCTATTCTATCTCATCTTTTGGAACGAGTTTTTTTCAAGCACGGCAACATTTTGTACTCCTCTGCTAGCCATGGAACTGTTGCACCTGAAACTTATTCACGTCAAATTATACTTCTTAAACAGTTCTTTAACGACATTACTTTTATTCATTGTAATGTACATCGCTTCGGATTATTTTAAAGAACAGAAAATATTCTTGTTTTCAATGGTCCTGCAGATTGGCGCTATATCACTGCTAACATCATTTGCATTCAGTTGGGATCATGTGTCCTATGTTCACTACTACCTTCTGTTATTTTACGTGTCGCTGGGAATGCCTTACTTTGCATTTTCCTCCGGTTCTTCCCTCATGTCAAAAATCACCGATCCTAGGAACGCGGCGTTCTTCCAAGGCACTTCATTCGCGACTGTACACTTGTCAATCGTGGCGAGTCGTGTTACGGCGAGTTTTATCTTTACAAAAATTGGATTGATATGTTTCAGTCTTGGACTCGCATTCTTTTGGTTGGTCGGTGTGATATGGTACAGTGTACTGTATCGCTCATTTGAAACCACTGGTCAAAACTCAAAATCTTAACGGAATTAATCTTAATCTTAATCTTAATCTTAAATTTCACTAGTTGTAACGTATATTTAATAGATATGTTTTTAACAGCTTCTATTTAAAATCTATGTGTATAGTTTATATGTTTTCATATTAAAATTTCACATGTTTGGTAAATACCGTTTGTCCGTAGGTAGACTGTTCTCTGATACTTTGGAATCTGGTCGGCTAGAAAATATACGAGAGAAAATAACTCAAAATCCAGGGATGGATCCAGGGGGAGGGGGGTGTTCATTGAGACTTGCTTATGGTTTGGGGTGTGACCACTGACCAAGTGCATAGAGGGAGCTATATGAGAAGCAGCGTTCTGGGGAATGGGTAATACTACCTCTAGCAAGGTACCTACAATCATAGACAAAACTCACGCGGACAACTTGGTCTATAAATTGAGTTTGTCACCTTAGTTGCGAGATATTATTTATTAGAAGATGTAATTAATAACTCTTAACCCCCGTTCCCCCAGCACAATGTTGTTTACTTTATTATGTATGTCTCACCGAAGACATTCCCACCTCATCACATTGTTTTAGGGGTGGGGGGATGAGTATTTGCAATTATATTTAGACATTTAGATTTAAGACACCTTTTCCATGTGCTTGTCCGAGTCGTTTTTTCTAGGATTGTAGATGTCTGAAAAGACATACCTGTGTTGCTGGATAAATTTTTTTAGTACTTCATTAGGATCACCTTTAGATTCTAGGAAAAGAAATTCAGTTTCATAGAATGTAAAAAAGTTGTTCGTGGGCGCAATCCCGAACACCGCAGGTTGCCTCTGGCTACTCTGATCTCTTCCTGAAGTAACACTGGATGAACACGGGACGGCAGATCGGGGGTGCAACCCCAGCCTGTAGTAGTTCTACCTGCTCGTGCTTGTTTCATTGCCTCCAATCTGCGAAGTCTTTCTTCATTTTTCTGAGCCAGTTCGTCGACATTGAAGCTCGTGACGGAGTTTAATGAAAAGCCACCAGGGGTCGGAGGTTTGTAGTCGGATAGCTGTAAAAAATAGGAAGTTATTTGTAAGATAAAGCAGGTAGGTAGATAGGTAGGGAGGCAATTTGGTAGGTAGGTAGGTAGGGAGAGAAGCAATTTGGTAGGTAGGTAGGGAGGGAGGGAGGAAGGCAATTTGGTATGTAGGTAGGTAGGTAGGTAGGTAGGGAGAGAAGCAATTTGGTAGGGAGGGAGGGAGGGAGGCAATTTGGTATGTAGGTAGGTAGGGAGAGAAGCAATTTGGTAGGTAGGTAGATAGGTAGGGAGGCAATTTGGTAGGTAGGTAGGTAGGGAGAGAAGCAATTTGGTAGGGAGGGAGGGAGGGAGGCAATTTGGTAGCTAGAGGTAGGGAGAGAAGCAATTTGGTAGGTAGGTAGGTAGGTAGGTAGGGAGGGAGGGTTTTTATAAGTATATAGAATAATATACCTTGGATGCTTTAGCTAAATTTTCTAGTTGTTTCCATCTTCTGCGCTCCCTTGCACTGGGCATTCTAGGCGAGTGTTTTGAACTGTCAACATGCGGAACTTGCGAGGGATCATTCACAGGAACAAACTGACTATCAGACTCCAGTTGTGACGTGTTGCTCGGAGGACGCTAAAGAAAAGACGACATATCATCATTATATGCCATCATATATACAGAACTGCAGAAGGATTTTGTAGCAGTGTGGATTATAACATTTTTGCTTAGGTCTAACAAATATCCGATCAACAAGACTGTCGCTCGGACATTGAAAAAGAATGGTCGGCCAACTATTTCAACCATTTTTACGAAAAAATAAAAGATCTTTTTGTAAGTAGTGAGTATTGGAAACACTATAGACTTACTATCGAGATTCTGTCACTTGAGAGAGTATTTGCTAAAAGAGAAGCTCAATGACAATGTTTCCTCTGAATGCTTTTTTCATTTGATTGCATGGTACACTACTAGGTATAGTATGCTTTTCAAACAGTACTTTTTACATAAGCTACTTTCATTTAAAATGAACATTATCTATTTTATTTGATCGGTCAAAATGTCCGTGCAGAATGAAATTGATCGGCCATTCGGTGTTTTTGTTTGGCAAATAGCCGACTGCCGACCGTTATAATCCACACTGTTTTGTAGATGGAAATTTTGAGTGTCAATTGTATACATTGAGTAGACAAGGAGTAGGCCCTCTGGCAGGAATCAAACCTACGGCTCTGCGATTCCGGTGCAGCGCTCTAAAGGCCCACTTGCAATTTTCGCTGCGATTTTAGGTGCGATTTTCTTCTTCTGACGTATGTGAACGAGTTGATGAGTTAGGAATGTTCAGATGAGGGTACATTTACTCAGAGTCAGGGTCTTAGCTAGGATTTTAGATCTTGGGCGTGTTTCTAATGACCAGGGCGTGCACATGTCAATTACTTTGAATAGCAAAATCATGGCTCTAGTTATGCTCACCAACAACAATGCCTGTAGTTGTTCTATGCTTTGCAACCAAATACAAGGCGAGCATACGCTCATATTGTGCACTGACAATTAAGTTATTTCAACAACTATTGGGGGTATTTAAAACCATTTTAACACCATACAGTTTCCATTATCCATCAAAACATTAAAACATCACGGATCACTTTTGCCAATTCAACAACAACAGTAGATTCTACAAACTTTCTTGACGTAAATAGGAAGAAATTCTGTCTGTTGTAAGTAGCACCACCTTATTTTATGAACCTATACACGGCCTTATATAAATAGTGAAGCCGCGTTCATTTTATCTAGCCGTGTTTTTCCACTTTTGGCTGCGATAACACGGTCAACACGGCCCTCTAGCTAAGACCCTGCTCAGAGTCTCAGAGCATTCATAACTCATTTACTCGTTCACATCCATCAGAAGAATATCGCAAAAGAAATCGCAGCAAAAATTGCAAGTGTAAACGGGCCTTAACCAACTGAGCTGAAAAGTCCAGCTGTCGATTATATCTCAAATATTTCTTTCCAACTGAAAATACAAGTGGTTGTCAGAAATATATTGGCGACTTTTAGTTTTGACTACAACTGCCGCTACCTTTTTAATTATGCACGTCATTGCCCAACAAACCGTACAAACTACTCGACG